GTTAAATTTATACATATTTTATTTTGATTCTGCACTTTACTAAACCTCATAAAATAATGCAACATATGTCATATTCCATCTCTCTCTTTCTTTCTGTTTTATCATCGTAATATCGACTGTGTTTCGATTTTTTGCCATTTCACTGGCAGGAGCACGCGTGATGTTTGCTATGCGAGTCTCTTTGTCTATCTTACGGAAAAGATAGGAAGAGTGGGGGTAACTAACAGTCCATAGTTATATAGTCAAAGGCCCCAATACCTAATAATTATTGTTCAATTTTGTAATTTTCACCTCATTTCAAAATACACAATCAAGCCCCAGATAATGGCTCGTATTCAAAACACGCTGACATACTATACTTTACGTCACGCATATTATAAAATTTCAAAAATAAAAGCGCGTTCTGAATACAGGCTAATGTTTCCGAACACAGCCCACATAAAAGTATTAAGCCAGAAACACAATGAAAAGCACAGGCAATTGGAATAGGGAATAAGAGATTTCAACCTATCACAGAAAGCGTTCATTCTAGTATACATGACTTTTAATAGGTAGAAATTCGTTATTTGCTTTTCTTATTGCCTGTGTGCTTTCATTGTGTTTCCGGCTTTACATATACATATGAGTCTGCTAAATCAGCTGACGCAACCATTTTACTACTTTGCGTTTTTGTGTGTGTCAATCTGTCAATGTGTGTGCCATAGACAGAGAGAGACATGGAGTGACGGGAACTCTTTAATGTCACAGAAAATGTATGCGATTTCTTAATTACCTATTAAATACATAGAACGTTATTAATTAATTTAATACACATACTAAGTGCTCAGTGTAGAAAGGGTCTGTGTTGACTTGTGTCATTCAATGGAAGACATTCTTAAAAAATTGGCCAAATATAAGTGGTTACAGTTGAAAAAAAAAATTAAATAAAATTTCTTAACTCATCTTTTTTTTTGTTTTGGCACATTTGATATGTTGCAGATAATTGGATAACTTTGGACCTTACATTAGACTCTAAAGATAATATTGACTATTGAAGATATCACAGTCATTCACAATTCTCTAGATTGTTTGCTAAGTCGTTAATTAATTTCGTTTTCAATTGTATATTTTAAAAATCAGTGAAAGAAACATGCATGCGACACGCGCCGACACCTCCGAAAGACGATTCGAAATACAGTGCAAATTGGAGTCTGAGATCGCTGCTCTAGAAGCACTGAAGGAGGCAGAGGAACGCAGCCGACGATTGACGAATGGAGTAGTAGGAATACTCTCTTCCTTAGAAGACCGTTTAGCTACGCTCCGCCGTACAATACTTCCAGTTTACAATGAGACTGAAAATCTTCAAGCACAACAACACAGTAAGCATTTGATTCATTATTATCATTTCTCAAATTACATCTTTCTAGAAAATTTTTTGTAACATTCTTTCTCGCTTTTGTATTACAGATATAGAGAAAACTTTAAGCGTGTTGGATCATGCTATTGGATATTACGGTGTATGTCAAGAAGTAGAAGCTGTAGTACGTGCCGAACCAAGTGGACCTAGTGGTTTAGATGGCTTTCTCGAAGCCATGAATCGACTGTACAATGCTCAGCGGTATTTCCAGAAAAACAATCCTAGTTCCGTCGAGTTACAAAACATCACAGGTCTCTTCTCAATTGGCCTAGAATCTCTATATGCTGAGTTCCATGACATTCTTAATCGCCAAAGTCGACCAATCCTTCCTATTGTGCTTCTGGATCTAATTGGCTCCGATGAGGACACCAATGGCGAGGATGGACCGCAGTCCTTGTGCCAATTGCCTGAGAGCGTTATGAGTGACTTGCTTAAGATCGCTGGATGGCTCGAGGAAAGGGGTCACCGTAGACATACAAAGATGTATGCTTCCGTACGTTCCACCATCGTCTTGAGATCTCTGTTACTGCTCAAAGAACATCAGAGAAGCGCCAGTGGTGGTAGCACCCATGGTGGGAGCCCTATGCCTGTAAATGAATATATATATATATGTGTTTGTGTAAAAATATATGATGCTTTTTAGATATTATTAATATGGATGTATTATCCACAGCGAGCAAAATTCGCTAACCGACACTCTCTAGATGGTCAAGAGAATGCGGGACGTAAAGCGTCGCGACGGCTGCAGCACGCATTGGACAAAGCCAACAGAATGCTATTGAAAGCGTCGCAAACGACGAGGCTGAATCTAGCTCTGAATTCAGTGTCTAGGAAACCGACGCAGCTTATCCCATACTCGATGGAGGATGCGGCACCCGACGAACAAGAGATGGAGAATTATCTTCTGTTAGCGGCCGGCCTACACAAACTCATACAAGCTGAGCGTGCATTGGTCGCGAAGATTCTTTCAGCTTCTTTGCATGCACAAGTGCTCGAAGCCACCGTACGCGACGCGATGGATTTGGTCGCGCATGATGGAGACAGCATAGCTACGCGCGCCAAACGTTGTATCACGAGACGCGACTTCTCTGCCGTTCTCGTGGTTTTCCCGATTTTGAAGCATCTCGGCGAACTGAAGCCCGATTTCGAGAGAACGGTCGAAGGTTGCGATTACGCCCTCCGTTCCAAATTTGCATCTGTGCTCGATACGTTACACTCAACTGTACGTTTCATCCTTTTTCTTACATTTACATAATTGCATGATTTAAATTTTTATTGAACTGGAAAGCATACGGGCAATAGGAGTCAAGCGCAGAAGACGTCGCGCAAGTAATATATCTATGAAGTGTGAAACTTCTTTATTCACTAAAACGCGCTTACATGTTTCAGCTCACTTTTGAGCCTTCCTCAGAGACAACAAAAATTTACATAAACTGTGAATAAAAATTATCCTATCATGGTGAGCACTCCTACCTTGAAAATTTAAACGTCAAGAAGAGTGAAATAAAACGAAGAAGAGAAAAGAAAAATGAACGAAAAAAGGAAATAATGGAAATATCGAAATGGAAAATATGAAAAACTAATTTATCAAAAACCTTACTTTAAGATTATAATTAATCATCTCGAAAATAAGGACGCTCACCCTGATCACAAATCACAAACTGTATCGCAAACTATTATAAATTACTAACTTACTATAAATTATTCAAAAACCGGTTCTCGATATTTTAGCCAGTCGGTATCAGACACAGTGAGTCACTTTCAGTTTTGGCTAGTATTATTGAAGCTTACAAATGAAAAATTTCGCATTGAAACGTTAATCAATTCCATACAAATGAAAGTTAGAAAGTAATCAAAATTTGTTGTCTCTGAGGAAGGCTCAAAAGTGAGCTGAAACATGTAAGCGCGTTTTAGAATAAAGAAGTTTCACACTTCATAGATATATTACTTGCGCGACGTCTTCTGCGCTTGACTTTTACTGCCCGTATCCTTTTCAGTTCTTTGAATTATAAGGAGTCTTAGTTAATTTGATTTGTAATACGGATTTAAATTTTTTTTTTAAATAAATTTAAGATCTTAAATATTAAATTAATATTTATAATTAAAATGTTTTATAAATTAATTAATAAGATCATAAAGGGTTTCTGAAATTACGCCATTTCTCACTAATATTTAATCAGTACTCTTTGAAAATACATTGATAATATATCTTATCAGCAAATATATCTTATCTAATATTTTAAAGAATAAAAATGTAAGTAACATGATTCAGTATCATTCGGTTGATATAATCTCAGTTGCGAGAGATATGCTTATTAAATGAATCAGTATATAAAAAAAGAAGTTTCCATCTATGTTTTATACATTTCCGATTCTATGCGCGATATTTTAATATATTTTTATATCAAAGGAGATTATACTTCAATATGTTAAATTAGATTATTTACTTTTAAGAAATACTACTAAGACATAACAGTAACATATGATGAATATAGACATAATAGTAACACACACATATGATGAAAGAATTATTATAAATAGAAACCGATGAAATTTTATGTTTAACACACATGAATTTTTGAAGATCAGTAATCTCTCAATGTTTTTAAAGTTACAAACTACTAAGCTACATTTCTACACTTACATTTCTATATTTACTAGCTTTCAGAGAAAAAAAAAATCATTAAATTTTCTTCGAAAATCGTTTTCTAAATTAAAATCCTTTCTCAAGGAAAAATAGATTTGTATGGCCAAATTGAGATGAAAGATCCTTGCCATTTTTATATAGATTCTAGCCCTTTGTGTATAGTAATTAAATTTAATTAAAATGAATTATTATTAGAGGATAAAAATGTTCCACAGACACATCCAAACTGACAGATTTAAAGATTTAAAATATTGCTGGATACAGATCTGAAAATATTTTTATTGAAACATTAAAATGATTACGTTGAAAACTAAAAATAAGCAATGCAAAAAATCTTAATATTCCAGTATAAGTTTCTAACACAATTATTTTGATGGTCCAACAAGGTTAATTTTTTAGATTTATATTCAGTACAATTTTAGATCTCACCAAAATTGTTTCTTCTTGAGAGGTAGAAAATTAATTTATAATATAAAACTTACAACATTTAAACGATGTCCATTTATTCCTTTCCTTAAAATACAAATTCCTCCAATTTAATTATACAAACCTCCCTCTCACTTCCTGTTAAAAAGATGTATAACCAACATAATGAAAGAAATTATTCAATTTTGTAGGGAGCTAAAGCTTTGGAAGAGTTCGCGGAAAGTGTGAGAAATGAATCTGGTGCGGGTTTGCCAAAGGACGGTACCGTGGCGGAAGGAACTAGCAATGTCTTGATTTTTCTGGAACAACTGGCCGAATATGCGGATATGGCTGGTACTGTTCTTCAACGCAATCTTTTCACAGATCAGTCTGCATTACACTCGAAAGAGCCGGAAAATGTACATAAAATGGTTCTCAGTGTATACATCAGTAAGTCCATGCTCATATTGTTTATTCTTCGTAATTAAATATAAACTAGCTGAAATGAAAATTTGACGTTAATTTGACGAAAATTGTTTTGTCCTCTTGTAGAAAAAGTTCTTGCTCAACTGAATCTGGCGTTAGTGAGTAAAAGCGATGCGTCTTATTCCGATCTCGCTTTACGAGCTTTATTTCGGTTGAATAATCATAATTACGTAGTTAACGCTCTCCGTCGAAGTTCTCTTATGGAGCTACTCTTACTGGCCGAGCCAAGTGCGGAACAAACATATTATGATCTACTTCTTAAAGACAAAAACAATTACGTTACTACGACATTCACCAAAGCCCGATCATATCTCGCAGACGAACCAGGTTTGTACCTTAATTTCAATCAGATTATAAACAAGATTCTCTCAAGTCACAGAAATAAATAGAAACATACGTGTCTACTTTCTGGAACAATGATGAAAGTGTTCAACACTTGGTGGATCTAAACTTATTATTAATTGCAATAATTTCCGCACGCGTTTTTCCTTCGCATAGATCTTGCCGCCAAAATGTTAAAGGAGAAATTCTTGGGTTTCGCACGAGAACTAGAGGAAGTGACCAAGTGTCAGCGTTCTTATTCGGTGCCTGACAGATGTTTGCGCGAAGAGTTAAGGAAGGAATTGCACGAGGCGATTGTACCGCTGTACACCGCATTCTACAACAAGTATCGCGGCACGTCGTTCTCGAAGAATCCGACGAAATACATAAAGTACACGCCCGATCAGATATCGACGCTAATCAACACGTTTTTCGACGCCGCCGCATAATAACATACATGTGTATCGCACCGCAAAATGTTTGTCTCGACAAAGAATTAGTAGAGTATTTAATAAACACCCATTTAATAAAGCATATTTAATTACAATAGTTTTAGTGATTCTTTTCCGTGCGGACCGAATCTTTATTTCTTTCTCAAACAGATTGCACAGAGATTAATATAGATCTGCGACAATTGAGAGTCTAGTTAGGTCTTGGTCCAGCTTCCCCCCTCCCCCGCATTTTGTTTATATATATTTATAATATATATATAAAAAACAAGTAACGATTTAGATTCGATCAGCGACTTATGTATATATATATATATTTATTTTTATATATATATGTATATATGTATATGGTTCATATTACCACTTACAATGTACAAAATCATACATTATACGTGATAATAAGAAAGAATACATTCGAAGTTCAGCATTTATGTACACAGTTGTTATATCATATCAGATTTTCTCTCATTACATACTTACACACTCGTACTTTTCGCATTCGTTCTTTCTTTCATACAATAGCTCTCTCGCTTTCTCGCATACATGAAATATTCGCGCGTTCTCTGCTTCGATAGTCATATTTTATTCCTTTAAATGCAGCATTACACTCCTTTTCTTTTAATTCCGACCTGATGATCACACGGTAATTCTCTGTGAGAAAGAATGTGATGAATTGTGCGCACTAATCACAGATTATTATCATCGCGCCAGAAAATCATCACTTGCAAGTGAAACAACACAAAGCAGAGAAACTGCTTAAACTCGCAATTTGACATTTATACTTATATCACATACATCTAAAATTCTTGTACAGTTAGCTATTTTTTCTTTCTTAAATTACGGTATGTAACATTTAATGTTAACCAATTTAGTGGAAGAAGGAAGCCATATTATGCGGCCGCTGCGCTATCGATTCCACTTCGGAAAATATAGTTATCATTTTTTTTTCATTTTTTGCGTATCTATTGGTTAATTATCTCCTTTCAAAATTGTTACGAACTCATCTTCGAAGCGAAACTATTTTTAAACTATTGCATATGTGAACAGAATTAAATATAGGACGTGCACAGTGAACATTGAATGGCATTCGATTACGCATCTAACACCTTCAATTAGATTTTTATATACAATTTCTCAAATAAACCTAAGATTTTTACGAACGTAACAGACCAGTGTTTTTCAGAGATTAATAAATTCTCTTTGTGAAAGAGAATACGACTCTGTCGAAGCTTTGTTAAAGCCTTTGATAACATATTGTGTTGAATGCTTGGAATAAAAAAAAAATACTTATGGTTGCTCTAAGTACTTGGAGAAATGTATATATGCGTGGCATTACCATTATTCACATTTATAATGAACATCTATATGAATATCTTCCAAAGAGGTTTGCCATATATTCTACACACATATCTCTAAAAAATATTCTCTCTTCTTTCTCTCTGAATTTATATCTTGATGCATATCGAAATTTTTTTATAATATAAGGAAAACTACTACGTTTTTTCTCTTTTTTCCTCCATTTTAAATACATTAACTATACGTGTCCTATCTAAAATGTACAATAGCGAATAGCATAAAATGGTTTTCCTCTTTGATTAAACTGATCAGTATACAGTCAATGTTTGGACAATTATATAGTAATATTTGCTTTTTTTCTTTTACCCATTCATTATATAATTATTAATTAATTGTAATATTAATAACGTACTTCTAGTATACTGTACAGTAGTTAGTTCAGTTATTTTGGCTTCTTTTACACTCCTTTTGCTTAGAACATCCAGTCAATTTGCATTTATAGCCCTATAATGTGATTAAACTGTCTAAACTGGAAATTTGGCTCGCATAGACAGCAGTAAACTTCAATAATTAATTTATATTTTCATTTAAAATGTGGTAGAGGCCACATAAAAACGAATTTATATCTCTCAAATTCACGATTCTCCCTTGTGAACCCTCTTTTGTTTTGCTCGCTGGAAATTTATACCGAACTGACATTTGTGCGCTTATGCTGGTAGATGGTTGCAGCCTCTAAGCTGATATAGGCTGGTACAACTGGGGTTCCAAATAGTCGATAATTTATCCGATTGATTCGATTAGTGTTTGGTACACTGGAGATGAGATGAGACACTTTTAGCACATTCCAGTACCAACGTGCAAAGAGGGATACATTTAATATTATAGAAGGAAACATCTGCGCTTTGGCTTCACTTGCAGAACCGGGCACAGTACAGCGCGTATCGCTTCGTCAAACACAGTCTTCAAGCCTTTTTGTGTCAAAGCGGAGCATTCCAAATATTTTACAGCACCGATCTCCTTTGCCATTGCTAAACCCTGTTATGAATGAGATACATTTTGAAATAATAGAGTTTTTGCAATACCGTGTTTCTAGGTACGGTAAACACTAAAGTTACGTTATTTAGAAAGTCAAACTGCACATGTGCAATTCAAATTTCCACTAAATAACATGACTTTAGCATTCACCATATCTGAATACACGGTATTGCAAAAACTTTCTAGTATTCGTTCTCTAGATATTTGTAACAATATTAGTTATATTGATTGAAACTGTTATTTGTGCAATCATCTTAATATTTATATTAACTCGCAATGTATTTGTTACACAGTCAAAATGTAACTTTTCAATGATTATCTCACTCTTTCTTCCTTTCTTTCTTTTTTTCTTTCTTTCTCTCTATTCTATAATATACACATATAATTTTAATCCAAATGTATACTTTTTGGTCACTTTATAAACTTTGTATCAATGTATAGAAATAATGAAAACAAATATAGAAATAATGAAAACAAACCTGAGGATAAGTAATGGGAGCTAGTTTTTTGTCTTTCAAACGTTCGATGGTCTCCTTGTCTTCACGCAGATCTAGCTTAGTGCCAACTAGAATAATTGGAGTAGCAGGACAGTGATGACGTACTTCCGGATACCATTTGGCACGTACATTTTCAAAACTTGCCGGATTCACCAATGAAAAGCAGATGAGAAAGACATCAGTTTGTGGATAAGACAACGGCCGTAGTCTGTCATAATCCTCTTGTCCTGCTGTATCCCACAGGCCAAGATTAATCGGCTTTCCATCGACCATCACATTCGCAGAATAGTTGTCGAATACCGTTGGAATATATTCCCCAGGAAATGCATTGGTGGTGTAGCTTATCAATAAGCATGTTTTACCTACCGCACTAGAGAACAGAAATATAGCAATTAATATGCATAGTATTATCCATTGCTCTGCTGGCTGATATAAATACAAATATAAGAATAAGTTTATTTGTCAGGAAACATCTTGTTAGATGAATCATTATGCAGAATGATTTTCCAATCACAACAATAGAAACAAGTCTTTTCTTCTAGACCGAGCTAACAAATTGGTCTGCCGCGCTGTCTTTCGTCATTGGTCATCAACTGTGGCACAGAGAAAAATGTCACGTCCTCGCGAACACGTCAACGTCGTATCGCGAGGTCCGCATACGGGCGTGGTAGAGCTTCGCTGGCGAGACGAGGCCATCACGCTCGCGCTCCAGGAAAACGGGAAGGAGGTCGATAGAGGAGGTGAGAGCAGGTAAGAATTTGGATCGCGTCCCGGGAGTAAACGTCCCCGTCGCGTCCTCGTCGCGCCCGAGCCCGGATGTATGGCTCACCGCGTGTTACGTACCCGTCGCCGACGACCACGCACTTGATGGCTTGCATCCTGGATGTCCGATGCTGTCCGTAGTACACACACGTAAATTTGCACTAAGTCGATTCTAAATGGAAGGGAGGAAAGGAGAAAGAGAAAGAAAGAGAGAGAGGGCGGGAGAGGAAGAGACAAACGGCGCGGGACGTACGCGCGACAGGAAGAGGGCAGCGACGACGGAGGAGGAAGAGGAAGAAGAGGAGGAGGAGAAAGAGAGGAGCGCGTCGAGAGGATGGAGGGGTAGGGCGTTAAAGAGAAGAGGAAGCGTGATGGACGCAGAGATTACAATTGAGGTTAGAGCGCGACGGAGATACGTGACGAAGGCGCGATTAACTCCAGCGACTGATTGGTCGGCTGGATGACTTCCTTTTGATCGGTCCGAGAGCATACGAGAGTTGACGAGAGCGTGGTGACGATCACAGCAGGAGATAACTTGGCCGCGACACACTTACGGAATCAAGGATAAGGGATAAACCTTCCCTATACGATTCATCCGCATCAACCTATACAAACCGAGACCGAGCAAATGCGAGCGAAGCGCTACGAACACTACGAATAGTGTGGTATAGTGCGAATAAGCGCCTATTTCAGATGATTAAGACGCGCCTTTGCGAGCGTCGATAGGTGGCGACACAGTCGCCTCATGTGAGGGGCAGAGTTGGGAAATTTAGCGCTGCGAGAAGTCTCTTACATTTCCCACATATAAAATATACAATACCGTATAAAATGTATTATATACGTTAAAAAAAACGTTCTAAGACTCACTTTAAATGAAATACAATACAGTGAGTACTGCCACCGACGAGATACTATTAAAGACCGACATCCTTATGGGAATTCGCGTCCTTGTGAATATTGAAGTAATTAAGAGTTAAAAATTGATAATATTGTATTTATTTTATGATTTGTTAGTTTAGTAAACGTATCTATGCATTTAGAACTTAATAATACTCGACTTTTCTTTAAAATTGTGGTTTTAGTGTTATCGTCAAAGTTTGATTATCAAACAAAGATGATAACTGCAGAGAAAAAATTGTAATTTTTCTGCAATATATAGGATATTATATAGTTTTATATCATATTTATTTATGGAATATTTGTTGTTGCAACAAAAAATCATGAATTTAATAATGTATGAGCCAAATATTTATGTTAATAATAGCAAATTTATATCAATAAGCATTCTTCAGTTATCATTCTTCTGTCAGCATTCTTCAATTATCTCCGGACTCTTGAGGCCCTTTTTATACCGCCGAAAATTTGCCCAGTTGACGGACTTTAATAGTATCTCGTCGGTGGTACAGGGAATAACAGGGAAAGCTGCCCAATCAGAACTCTGGGATATAATATCGAACTTACACACCAGAAGGTCGATTGTATATCTTCAAATATGGTGAAAATTACAAAAGTGTGTAAATTTACTAGAGTATTCATAATTTAATTGGTCAATACCTAGTAACCTTTGCTTTTGTAATTTTCACCATATTTGAAGATATACAATCGATCTTCTTTTCCTTTAAAAATCCACAATCGTCTCCCAGAATTCTGGTTGGACGGCTCGTTATTCATTGTTGCCTGTGCCTTATTTAAGCCTTAACTGTATCGCATAATGAAATAAGAGAAGAGCTCAAGAGAAGAATTAATTTGGGGAATGCGTGCTTCTATATATATTCGGTTAAGAAACTACTCGGTTCGCGGATATTGTCTAGGCGCTTAAAAATTTGAATTTACAGAACGATTATTTTACCGGTAGTCCTTTATGGCAGCGAAGCGTGGTCACTTACATTACAAGACGAGAAAAGATTTAGGGCTTTCGAAAATAAAGTACTTCGAAAAATCATCGGGGCAAAACGCGATGAGGAAACGGGCGAATGGAGAAAATTACACAACGCAGAATTACATCAATTATATAATAGTCCGGATATTATTAATGTCATAAAATCGCGTCGATTAAGATGGGCAGGTCACGCGGCGCGTATGGATGAGAATCGAATTGCATATAAAGTACTAATTGGTAAACCGGATGGGAAAAGACCATTGGGTAGACCAAGACGTAGATGGGAAGATAATATTAGAATGGACCTTAACGAAATGGGGTACGAGGGTCACAAATGGAGGGATCTTGCTCAGGGACGGGAACAGTGGCGGGATTTGGTATTTGCGGCAATGAGCTTTCGAGTTCCTAACGCCTAATAATAATAATAATAATAATCGGATCGCATACCGCGCTCCAATCGCACCCTTAGGGTGCGGTTCACTTAACGCTACAAATGCTTCGAAGCTTTTGATTGACCAATCGGAAGAAAGAATTGTATTGATTGACCAATAAAAAAATGCTTTGAAGTATTTGTACCTTCAAGTGGATCGTAGCTTTGATAACGCTGTCTATGTCAGCATGTTGGCAACACTGATGAGCCGGAGCTGTCAAAATTGGTGCATGCATGGTTATGATTACCTCAACAGCGAATCTTTCACTACGCAGTTTGATTCACGTGAGTTACAAGCGAATAGTGGACCCGACGAGATTTAGATGATGGTGCTGAACGATTGCGCGGACCCGGAGAGGGTAGGATGCGGCTTTAGCACATTTAAGGAAGTGGACGAGGTGATCGTTCTGATAGCGGAGCTAAGGCGACCGGATTTGTTGACGAGTCTTGTAGAGCGGAACAGGGATCGTTTCAATTTCATTCTATCTCAGTATCAGGATCAGCATCAACTTTTGGATCCGTATCTTGAGAAAATCTTAGAATCTCTGCTGTCGATTATCAAGGATGATAATTATCCGGAAAATGTCAAGCACAATACGTTCAAGTATTTATTTATTATCATGTCCGTGAAGACGTACAAGAGAATCGTTACTTATCTCCCGCACGAAGTAGTGGATCTCTTGCCTGTATTAAGAATGCTCGAGAAGCAAGACTCAAATGATGTGGAAACATGGGAAACAAGATACGTTTTGCTTGTCTGGTTGTCCATTATCTCGAAGATACCATTTCCCCTATCTCGCTTAGAGTCGTCTGAGAATGTAGACCCAGAGCAAACTATCATTGTCAGGTATTTATTGATGCTATTAATCAAAGGAAAATTGGAGCAAAGTTTCATTGAAAGATGAGGAAATATATTGTTTTTACTTCTGTATAATGTATGTTCTAGAATTTTAAAGGTATGCAAACTATATTGCCTGTTAAAAGATGCTTGCGCTGTGGCAGCTGTGTTTTTAATAGCAAATTTTTTAACAAGATCTGATGTCAAAAAGTTATACTTGGAAGAAATGATTATGTGGTGCTTAAAGGTAACATTTCTCTTTAAAGGAGGATATGTATATATATATGTATATAT